GAGAGAGAGAGAGAGAGAGAGAGAGAGAGAGAGATATTGTTTAAAAACGTTTATCGCGACGTTTCTCGCGCATCGATTTTCGATTCTGTTTCGTTTCGCGATTTCCAACCAGGCGCCATACGCCTTTTATCGACCGCGAGATAGTAGAGTGCAGCGTTGTGTGTGCGTTGTGTTACGCGCAAGTTCACGAGAACGAGAAGTGGATGGTGGAGAAAAAAAAAAGAAGAAAAGAAAGAAAGAAAGAAAGAAGAAGAAGAAGAGGAGGAAGAGGAGAAGGAGAAGAGGAGAAGGAAGAAAAGGAGAAAAGAGAGGAGAAAAGGCCGTGAGGCCCAGGGCTGACCGGTTCATCGACCTATCGTCCGGTCTCCTTAGTCCCTCGTTCTTCACCTTTCTCTCGACACTTGGTTTCTCTTTCTCTCTGTTAACTCTTTTCTGTTAGCCCCGACTGTTCCTGAACCGGCAGGAATCTCCCGTCTCGGTCGCGATACAAAAGACACGCAGATTTTTGGTCGTGGAATTCTCATCGCGTTTTCTAACTCTAAAGCGCTTTAGTTCCTCCCTTTATTCCATCCTATCCTTTTTTGGAATTTATTTCATCCCCTTCGAAAGGAATTTTTTCCATTTCGAAAACAAAAATTTCATTCAGAAAAAAAAGGGATGAAAAGTTTGGAAAATTGTGTGGAATAGTCCGAGTTGTTTAATTACGAAATTACTGCAATTGCAATAATTTCATACATTCGTGAATGTTTTCGTTACATTGCAACCTGGATTGCAAAATTGATATGTACTCTCGATTCGGATATTCGATTGTAGTTACGCATCTTCTGTTAATCGCAGTTCATCAACGTTATCAACATTCCTCCGGTCGGAAACGAATGATTCATTGTTTTAATCTTCCTGTTTACAATAATATCGAGTCGAATTGCAGCGATCGTTAGAAACGGCATACTACTTATATACACGGAGAAGAGTTATTCATATTTTTTTACTCGAGGAAGAGGATGCAAAGGAGGTCGTGTGAGGAACGAGATCCGTGTGAGAATACATTTTTTCCAGTACTTTGTCCCTCTTTCACCGCTCTTCCTTCTCTTCTCTTTCTTCTTCTTCTTTCAACTGGATCTCCTTTCTTCTTTCTCCACTATACAACGACTGTTGTCCTCCAAAAGCAGGATACCATTAATAGATAGATTGTACGTCTTCGAAGCTAATCGGTGCGAAATTAAACCGGTTTCGAACGATCCCCTCTTCCACTCTCGTCAGCGTTGAGAAAATTAATGAATATCGATTTCAATGGGACGTGGAACACGTTGGTCTAAAACGCGTTGGAAAGAGATAAGAGCGTGGAACGTCACGGAAGGAATACACGTTCGAATTCTCTTCTTTTTCCTCTTTCGAATTTCTTTATTCCTTTTTCTTTTCTTTTTTTTTTTTTCCACCCTCGTCAACTTGTCTCGCAGGATTTTACGCTACAGAGTTTTACACGGTTGGAAACAGGTCTGCTTCCACTCCACAACCGATGCTCCACATTTTTATCCCGACAGGTGAAATTCAAGGTACAAGAAACTTGCGAAGTAGAAATAACAATTTATCCACGCTCCTTTCCTGCTCGAAAATATCGCGCTTATTGTTAGATTTTCGTTGCGATATTTCCTCTTTCCTCTTCTTTTTCATTGTTTAACCATCGACGGGGACGATTGTGCGAGTTATTATGGATGAAGAAAGGATGGAAAGAAAGAAAGAAAGAAAGAAAAAATTGTCTTTCTTTCCACCTTTTCTCGTCGAAACGGAGACGATGACGGAAAGAGTTAAGTACGTGTACATTGTCCTCGGTAGTCACTTCGCCGGCTTGTTGTGTGGAGCTTCGTTTTCTCTTTCACTCGAGTACAGGAAACTACCGTTCTTGAGAAACTCGGAAGCTTCTTATCTTAATATTTGGAAAGAAGAGGGAATGAGGAAAAAAAAAAGAGAAATTAATAATTATTATAAATATTTATTCGAATAATACTTGGATTACGGACACGTTCTGATTGGCTGTAGAAATTTTTTGCGATTGTTTAATCCACGTTTAAACGATAGAAAGAAAGGACACGGTGATTACGAGAATCTTAAGGAATTCGAAAGCTTTTTATCTTAGTATTTGGAAACAAAAGAGAGATTAATAATTATTATAAATATTTTATTCGAATAATTACGTACAGTTGAACAAACGTCTCGTTCTATTTGATTGTAAAATTTTTGGTTTAAAATATAGAAAGAAAGAAGACGGCGAAAGATTATCTATAATGATAATTGGATACGAAGGAGAGCGCGAGTTAAGTCGTAAATAATATTGCGGTAACGCTATGTGAAAGATCGTTGTTTCTTTTCTTTTTTTCACGGAATAATGTCGCGTGCCGAGACCCTAAAACCTCGTTCGAGGCAGAAAGGCAGGTTGGAAGAAGGTCGAATTTGCGATTTGTAGGACGTTTGTTTCGGTTAGCTCTGTTTTTAAAAAGTAAACAGTTGAACTCATTATCTAATACGATCGAAACATAGGATAAATTTCCACACGCCACTTAACCGTCCCGGAATGTCGTTAAACTGGGAACTCACTGATGCGTCCACGTGAACTACAATAGTCGGTTTAACCATCGTGATCATGGCGCACGAGTTAATGAATCATTAACGGTCGTTTCTGTCAGTCCCTTAATGCCTCTTAACCCTTGGGAGTCTGTTTCATATCCGGCTAGCCGTCGCTCGTTTGCGTCATTGCGGTATTTACTCGCATTCGTTACTTACGAATCTTTTTGAAAGCGCTTCGTGGCAAACTTTGCCACGATCCCCTTTGTTCCCTATCTCTCGATAGATTCGCGATTATCTACGTTTGCTCCAACAGCAGATTGAATTTTCCGCAAGTTGGCGCAATTGACAATGATTTCGTACAGGTATCCTTTAATTAACCTCGCGCCACTTTGCCTTGTTTATTAGGGGAAAAAGTAGCGGATTCGACGTTATTCAAGTGGCGATATAAAAAGGCAGGTATTAACAAGGCTGGAAAGGAAGATGTTTATCTTGTTGGGAGAATCCTGCGGTTTCCCGTGTTTCAATAAAAATTTTAATCAAATGAAGTTATTGCGGAAATTTTCTATGCGAGTGGAGATACAAGATAAAGATATTCAGGGAATTTCGTTCGAGGAATATGGATAATAATAGGTGGACTGGTGTACATAAACTGTTGGCCCTGAAGTGCGCGTTATTATTTTTCGAGGACGATAACGCACGTTTCGCGAACGTGACCCGACTGCGACTAGTTGACATTCGTCCGGGCGAAAAAGTTTTGTTCGCGCCTTCGTTTCGCGTCGGATCCACGAATAGAATAATTTCGTTTCAAACGTTCCTCGTACGCCCGATTGCACCCGTTTCCTGATTATTCCTGAAATCGCGCACGATGATCGCTTCCAGATACCAGAAGAAAATATATTCGAACGTGAAAGAAGGAACTGCCTCGACTTTCTCATCCCTGTGCTTTTGTTGCACCGGATGAAACAACGAGTCGACAGAGCGAAAAGCAGTCCCGTTAAATGGCGTTGAGCGAGCGAGCGAGAGAGAAAGAGAGAGAAGGGAGAAAGCAGTTC